GCAACGGGAGGGCGGTTTTGTGTTAACCAATCAGAATGAGAGCTCTGGGTGCAGTGGTGGGCTGTAACTAAGTACAAGTACTTTGTTACTGTACTTAAGTACATTTTTCATATATCTGTACTTTACTTAAGTAGAGTTAAATGTGGGTACTTTCTACTTTTACTCCACTACATTTAATATTAAGTATCTGTACTTTCTACTACACTACATTTCTATAATGCGTTGAGTTACAAGTTACATTCACGTTGTGCTTTGTTATTTGTTTGAAAGTAACTAATGTTGAGAGGGGAGTTAGTCCTTTGAATCACTGCAAAGTGGACAGGTAACGTTAGACCCGCCTTCAAGAAGAGCTGGATCAATGACGTGTATTCTAGTATTTACGTCATTGAGCTGGGCGCACCCGCAGCACCACTAACACACCCAAAATGGATTCCACCGTGGAGAGTCAGCCAGAAGATATGCTCCACACATGGACTTATTGAAAGTCTATTGAAAGTCTATTGAAAGTCTACTGGAAGATTATTCCGTACAGAAGGACAGATTCTCTCCCAAAAAGAGCCAGACTGGACTCAAAAAACTTTGAAAACCAACTTCTTCTGAACTTGAACAATAAATTCTTGCTGCAACATTAAAATGTGTCAGTTCATGATGTTAGGAGACAAGAGGTGTCTCCAAATGTCTCGACACTCAGGTCCAAGTTTTGAAAATGGTGTCAGGAAGTTAAAATATTGTTCACTATTGACCCATTACAAGGTTGAATAGACAGTATTTTAACTAGAGTTGATGACAAACTGGAGTTGAAATGATCAGTCTATTCCATTGTTAGGTCTAAGCTCCTTTTTTCTGTCAGACAACTTTTACTTAAATGTGTTTACAGCAGTTAAAATGACACATTGGTTTTGATTTGTGTTAAATACAAACTTTCAAAGGTATACAACATTTTTCAGTCAGGTCATCTGGACAGTTTCTTTTTGTTTTGTGCTGAAACGTTTCGCCTTCGATCCGGAAGGCTTCATCAGTCAATGAAACACACAACACAACTGATTCTTCCCCCAACAGCTTACTCCAAAGTGGAACAAACCAGTACTGCTTGTGAT